CTGCGAGAACAGCAGAACTCTACAACTGGATTCTCATTTGAATCTTAAGGGGAATGCTTCCAGATATGCTCCTACACATCGCTGTTAGGTTGCTTTGCCGGGATAATTTACACGACTCCCACCATTCACAGCAAAGTTTCGTTTTGACACACTGCGAGCGTTGATAGCAGTGTCTTCTTTTTACACGACTGCCACTATTGATAGCACTGTCTCGTTTTGACACACTTCCAGCGTTGATAGCAGTGTCTCCTTTTTACACGATTCCCAGAATTCACTGCAAAGTTTCGTTTTGACACACTGCGAGCGTTAATAGCAGTGTCTCCTTTTTACACGAATGCCACTATTGATAGCAGTGACTCGTTTTGACACACTTCCAGCGTTGATAGCAGTGTCTCCTTTTTACACGACTCCCAAAATTCATGGCAGAGTTTCGTTTGGAAACACTTCCAGCGTTGATAGCAGCGTCTCCTTCTTACACGACTCTCCCCATTCATAGCAGTGACTCGTTTTGACACACTCCCAGCGTTGATAGCAGTCTCCTTTTTACGCGACTCCCAATATTCATAGCAAAGTTTCGTTTTCACACACTTCCAGCGTTGATAGCAGGGTCTCGTTTTTTACACGACTCTCACTGGTGATAGAAAAGTTTCGTTTTGACACACTTCCAGCGTTGATAGCAGTGTCTCCTTTTTAAACGAATCCGAATATTGATGGCAAAGTTTTGTTTTGACACACTTCCAGCGTTGATAGCAGTGTCTCGTTTGTACACGACTTCCAATATTGATAGCAGTGTCTCGTTTTGACACATTCAGCGTTGATAGGAGTGTCTCCTTTTTACACGACTCCCAAAATTGATAGCAAAGTTTTGTTTGACACGCTGCCAGCGTTGATAGCAGTGTCTCGTTTGATAGCTGTTATTGCAGCTACTGCCAATGCCACTAGTTACTGCAGGTACTGTCGTTCCCACCAGTACGGACACGTCTTGGCTTTCCTATTTCGATTCGACAACTGGATTCTCATCTGAATCTCAAGGGGAATGCTCCCATATATGCTTCTACACATGCTGGAAGCATATCTGGAAACGAGACACTGCTATCAACAAACAAAAAATGTGGCCCGGGTATGGCGGGCCACGAAGAACACGAACGAGCCACCTCTGCGGATGGCGGCGGGGGGGGCGCCGCCGCCGCCGCCGTCGCCGCCGCCACCGCCGTCGTCGACGTCACCTTTTTTGTCGCTGCCTTTTCGTCGAGATGCTGTTCGACCCAGAGATGCTCCTACACATGGCTGTTAGGTTGCTTTGCCAGGATAAGCTCCGTGCGTTGATAGCAGTGTCTCGTTTGCAAATACATCCATTCAAGCTCCGTGCATTGATAGCAGTGTCTCGTTTCGGCATACATTCTACTATTACTTTTACTGATACCGTTACTACGGGGGCTAACTTCCCCTACTACCATTCTACTATCCAAGACATCCGCCGTACTTCACTGTTACTACTACTGCCATCCACCCACTCCAACTATACTTCACTTCGCTGTTACCACTACACCCACTACTACTACTACGCTTCACTCGTTCACTCCCGCCAACTACAACTACTACTTCACTGTTACCACTGTTTCATCTCTCCTGCTCTTATTGCTACTACTACTGTGACTGTTACTGCTGCTGCATGCCTCCAGCTATGCTTCGACATATCGATGTTAGGTTGCTTTGCCGGGATAATATGTTAGAATGTTGAAATTCCAGTGTGTTTGTTGGACCCTGACGTCACGATCTGCGTGAGGGGTGCCACCGGTTTTCAGAATTCTAGACGCTTCGCGTATCCCCACCAACCCGCCCAGAAACGACGCCCAGGCGAGTAGAGGGTCGTCCTGAGGGGCTTTTCGGCGTCTTGGGTGCCTCGGGGGGGCCTCTGTGGGCCGTTCGGGATCCTCTTTGGGGCCTCCTGGGGGCCTCTTGGGGCCTCTTGGGGCCATCTTGGGGCCTCTGGGAGCACCTTGGGTGCCTCTGGGGGGTCTCTTGGGGCCTCTTGGGGGCCTCTTGGGGGCCTCCTGGGGGCCTCTCGGGGGGCCTCTTGGGGCCATCTTGGGGCCATCCTGCGGCCTCTTGGGGCATCCTGGGGGCCTCTTGCTGCCATCGTGGAGGAAATCGATCAAAGAAGAGGGGAGCCTTACTTAGCGTTGCCCCCTCAGAAGGCCAAAATGGGGCCCAAACCATAGTAAAATCAATGATTTTGGCTTCCTCGCCGAGGCCGTTTTGGACGCTCTGACCGCTCCCCGCCCCTCCTGTCCAGCTCAGTGGGGAGGGGGTAGGGGGAGGGGTAAACCCCTCCCCGGAGGGGAAGAAGGAGGGGTGGACGAGGAAACGCTCTAAAACCACCGACGCCCAGAGGGCTGGTGGGATTTCGAGGATGTCCCGAGCGGAACGGACAGAAACATCGCGGACGCGTACGCATTAATCGCCTCATATTCTCATACGCACCTCTCCGAGGGAGTAGAGCTCAGAGGCGATTAATGCGCACGCGTCCGCGATTTTTTTCTGGCCGTTTCGCTCGGGACATCCTCGACATTCTGAAAATCGGTGGCACCCCTCACGCAGATCGTGACGTCAGGGTCCACAAACACATGGGAATTTCAACATTTTAACATAAAACCTTCAAAAACACATGGTAATTTCAATACTTTTGACTCCGATTCTCAGAGGATGGCGGTTTCGCATGAAAAATCATGCCAAACTCGAGCCCCAGACCCCTCCTCGGAGCCTCCTGGGGGCCTCCTGGAACCTCCTGGGGCCTCCTGGGGCTTTCTGGACCTTCTGGTACCCCAGACCCCGCCTCGGAGCCTCCTGGAGTTCTCCTGGGCCTGCTGTGGCCGCCTGGGGCCTCCTGGGGCCTCCTGGGGCTTCAGAACTACATGCGCACACAGAGACACAAATCACGCCCAACACATCACACGCTAGACAAACATAACATACACACAACACCGACAACACACAAAAAGCACGCACCACACAAAGCACACATCACACACACACACACACACTCACAATCCTGGGGCCTCCTGGAGCCTCTTCTGGTATCCAAGTCGGGCCTCCTGAGGCTTCCTGGGGGGCCCTGGTACACACATCGCAAGGTGTGGCAACCCCACTTGCGCTCGAGTGCGACTTCGCTGTTGCATGTCACTCCTGCTTCAAACGCCCCTTCAGCTTGTTGTATGAGCCTGGGCACACACGTGCCACTTGTATATATAGGTGTGTGTGTGTGTCTGTGTGTGTGTGTGTGTCGGGCCCCTTCAATCTTGTGGCCAGCTTTGGGCTTCCTTCGGGGGACCTCGAGAGGCCGCCGTTCGGGCGAGTTGTTTTCCTACCTAGGCTCTGCCTAGAAGGGTTCTTACTCTGTGGGCTTCACGGGGGCCGGGCAGTGGGAACCGGCCCGGGCGGTTCCCCCAGGATCCGCCCCGCGGTTCCCCCAGTTGCGTCCCCTTAGCTTAGCGTTGCTCATCTCATCTTAGCTTAGCTTATTTCATCTTAGGTTAGCGTAGCTTCATATTAGCTCAGGATTATTTCATCATAGCTTAGCTTAGCTTCATCTTAGCTCAGGTTTATCTTAGCTTAGCTTACCTTCATCTTAGCTTCGCTGAGCTTTATCATACCAGAGCACATCATATCATAGCGTTTCATAGCATAGCATAGCGCAGCATATCATATCAGAACAAACCATATCATAGCATAGCAAATCATAGCGTAGCATAGCGCAGCTTATCATAACATAGCATAGTATATCATAGCTTAGCCTAGCACAGCGCAGCATGACATATCATAGCTTAGCATATCACATCATAGCATAGCATAGCATAGCATAGCGCAGCATATCATAGCATAGCATAGCATCGCATAGCACAGCGCAGCATAGCATGGCATAGCGTAGCATAGCATAACATAGCAACTGATGCTGCTTTCCTAGGGGCTCCAACTTCTAGGTAGGGTCGCACTGGGGTAATTAAGCCCGTCTGGGACGTCCACGGGGGCGTCTTGGAGCCATCTTGCGGCGTCTTGAAGTTGCTTCGGGGCCATATTGGTGGATAGCTTTACGGTGTTCCTATTGATTTTAGCCTGGATCACCAGAAGGAATTTCGAGCACCAGAAAAGTTCCGAAACTCGAGGGTTTTCATGTGTCGGGCCCTGGGAGACACTCGTCCGACACTGTTTCGACACTGTTTCGACACTTTTCCGGGTGCTCGACATTACTTCTGGGATGTGGTCCTCAAGTGCGATGGGAGCAACATAAGCCTCGGGGCCATCTTGGTGGCTAGCTCTGCGTCTCTGTAGCCATCTTGTTGTCATCATGTGGCAATAACGTGGGCCTCTCGGTGAGGGTGTCTTTTTGGGGGCCTCGTGGACTTTTCCGGAGACGTCTGGAGCTGATCTTGAGGAGCGCCAGAAATACACGAGCAACTACTAGAGTTTGGCGAACTTTGCATGTCCTGAGTTCCTTTTGGCCCACATCGGGGCCTGCTGTGACACATGTCTGGCAGGTTGTGGAAGTATTCTTGGGCATAGCAGCTGAGCAATTTGGGGAGTCATTTCGAGTCATCGGGGACCGGGTTGGCGATTTTCAGAGCCCCTGAGGGCCCGAGAAGTGCCCTATTGAGCTTGTCGGCCCGCCTCCTCTGCCCACGTCCCCTTCAAACAGGATTTTTCGACCCCGGGGGCACAGGCATGCACAGCAACCGCTCATGCCAGCAGATGTGCACACGTGCTGTCGACCGGAGGGGAAGGGCTTACTTTCGAAGAAGAGCAGCAGCATAAACATACACTTCCGAAGGCCCCGCGGAGCGCGCCAGGGGTGGCGCCGGAGGCGCTGCCAGACGGGTCCAGCGTCCATCCAAGAAATTCGCGCGGCCTTCCGGAAATTGATGCTTATGCAGTCTTGTCTCCCTCTATACTTGGGATCGCCCACGTGCAGCAAGAGCGCTTCCGTGAGAGGCCCCGGCGGATAGGGGTGGTTTGCGAGATGGTGTCCATGGTGAAAAGCAGCGAGGATGAGGCCCTGGCAAAGGTGTCGCTGGAGTCCCGGCTGTGCGACATCATGGAGGTGTACGACGCGGACGCCAAAGGCCGAATCATGAGCATTTGTGTAAGCACAGACTATCAGAGCTCCGCGCGGATTTCTCAGATGCCGCCGTCTTTTTTGTTCGCGCCGCAAGGGTTATGTCTTGGAGCGGCGGTCATGGCCATCGCTGGGTCACACAGCCAAGTGGAGTCACGGGGCTAGCAACGGGTCTTCCCAGCCCCGTTGGGCTCCCGAAGAGGGTCACGCAACAGGCCCGTCGACACGGGCCTGTGACTGCTGCAAGTTGGCAGCGCTGCAAGATGGACGCGGCCAGATCGGCGCTGGACTTCCTTGGCGGTGTCTCCGGCGCGCCGCGCCTGGCGCGCTCCGCTCGGCAGACAGGGGTCCAGCGCCGATCCACGAAATCCGCAGAGCACTTCGAGCTGTTAAGTTAAGTCGGGCACGTCCCTCTACAGGAGGAGTATTCAAAAAGAGTCAAACAAATAAGATGGGGACGATTTTTTAGTATTTGTTGACCATTCTTGGGTATTTTTGACACTTTTGAATTTTTCGTCCGCAATTTGCCTGTAGGGGGGCATACCCGAGCAAAAGCTAATTCTCCGAACAGTCCTTGCAATTAGGGCTTCCGTATTTCTCATAAGGAACTGGGCCTGTGCGCCGGTCCGGCCGGCTCGTGGTGGCCCGTCGCCGCCCGTCGCCGCCGCGGCCCGTCGCCGTCGCGTTTTGTTTGCAGTTTCGAGGTCGAGCCTCGTAGAAGGAGGAGGAGGAGGAGGAGGAGGAGGAGGAGGAGGAGGAGGGAGGAGGGAGGAGG